TTTTCTAATTTGACAACTATTACTCCGATTTTTCACCTTCAATCTTGAGTGATCTTGAATAATTTTAATTTTCAAAAATGTAGGCATTGTATATTAATAAAGAGCAAGTTGACGACTATTGAAATACAAAATTTGCTTTAATTTGTGAAATGAAACACTTTTTTTCTCGCAAAAATACCCCACAATATTCATTCTAATCTTGATTTTCATACAATATGAACACATTATTACAAAGAAACATGCGCTGAAGTATGTTATATCTGGTTCGTTAATGTAATTATACAGAATGCGTTCGTCCTTGCAAATATAAAAAAAAAATGGAATAAATTGTGTCTATGGTAAGAACCATTCCTCGTGACCCTTCAGTTCTGAATAAAAAATATTCAGATGCTCGATAGACATAATTTCACTTATATACTTAGTTACTCCATGGAATAGTGTCGTCTGTTGATTTATCATGATTGTTTTTGTGCAAAACCAGATATGTCATCTAAATAAAAAGAGCAGGTGCTTGTACATTGTGCAAGCTTTTTAAAAAAAAAGGAGACAGAAGACAGTGCATGTACCAATGGGACAATCTAAAACCATAAGCTGAAGAAAAACGACAAAAAATGCAAACAACAGTCAACAAAAGGCTTCCCAGAAAATTTAAGATTAAGCAACACTTACCCACCAAAACCAAAAATAGGGTAAGCAGTTACAGCTCCACAAGTGACAGATAAATGACTTTTGACGATTATAATTTAATGTGCATACACAATCATTGCAAATTAAAACTAAATGTAAATGTTCTTGGCTTTAAATTACTGAATTCGTATTATCATGGATATATCAAGATATAGCTATCTCCATTTTTATCAAAAGTGGATACATAAAACTATAAGATTCACACGACGATATGTTAAAGCTTATACGCAATTTTAATATTTTCCTTGTCTTATCTGAAAATGATATCACATAGGTTTGTTTTCTCATTGATTTCTAGATAAAAATTGGAAGAGGCACTATTGTATCATGTACTTTATGTTCTCATTTTTTCTTATATTGTGTTATCATGATGGATCGAGACAGACATGATGTTTGCAGAATTTGGCATCCATGTATGAAATTGATTTGAAGGAGATTGCATCTAACGATATTTTGACGACAGAGAAAAACATAAAGTAAAGAACATTTGCCTATCTTTGTTGAAGACCATGTGTTGACATCTAGTTGTCTTCGGGTTTTTTGGTGTTTTGTTGCTGTTTCATTGGCGTATACACCAAATCTCTCTTTTTTTTCATACCTCTAACGGTTCATGATATAGCCGTATGTTAATGTATAGTCGTTTATTAAACGTCTTCTGGCAAAATGTCAAAATGACCCTACAAAGAAAGATTTTATCTCTGACGAAATGTGTGCTCAACGTCACAACTATAGGTTTAAGTTAACGGCTAAGTTTGAAGAGCAGCTGGTCCAATTTCATATTAAAGGTTGCGCCATATTTCATAAAATATTTGAATAGTTTCGAGATCAGTGGTTTGAAACGAAAACCTATCTTTAGAAGATCAATACAAATGAACGTTATGTTTTCTTCTTTCATTGGGTTTCCCAATTTAGTTTGCGTGTACATTTCAATTGAATTTATAATTATCCTTGCGTCAGACTGCAAAATAAGGACGTGTTATCTTATATGTTTGTGTTGTTACTACAAACAATACTTATAGTAACTTAGGAACAACATAAGCAGATCCATGTTACTACAATAAAAAATATAAACATCAATTGTAAAACATTACCGCAAATCGTTTTTTATTATATTATAACAAAACAATTTTGAACTTATTGAAAAAAATGTATAGCCCTGTGCATAGAAACTGTTTGAATAGCCTGACCTGAAGTTGGAATGTATTATATTAAAGATCAGTCTCTGAATGAGAACACAGATAACAAAATAGAACTGGGCTGATATACATAAAACTACTTAACGGACGGATATTTATACATGTCCTACAAAAAATTAGTACTAGGATTAGATACTATCTCTAACTTAACTGGTTTTATGCATTTCAGCCCAGTTTTCTCTGGCACTATTGTGTAATCTTTACTGTACATTCATTTTGTAATACAACAGCAGCTGTGAGCAAACAATCAAATTCATTTCTTCAGATACATCTTCTTTCAAACTTATTTTCACTTGGCTTTTAGATATTTACTTTTCTTGCAAAATTATATATTACATGTTTAGCAAATGAGTTTTATTGTGGTACAGTGGTGGAAGGCATTGTTGTACAAATCAATATTTATATGGCAGTAGTTATATTAATTGAAATGTTGTTGCTCCTTTGCTAAATTCGTCTTTTATTTCTTTGGTGGAGACATTTGTCTGACGCACAGTTTCATCATGCGAAAAACCAAACATGAAATATGTATAATATTGGCTAAACGAAGTATACCATTGTAACCTCCAGGCGGTAATTACACCTCCAGTTATGTGTTTGCCACGGTCGTGCTCAATTTTTAGTTTCGTTTCGAAAACTTTTGTGTGTCTTTTCGTCGTTTTTCGTTTTGGCAGTGCTGTTGTCAGTTTTTCTACCGACTTATGGTTTTTGGTCATCCTTTTGTTAGAACCACTACCTCCTTTTTATAATTTTAAAAGTGTTTTGTCACAACCCCCCCCCCCTTTTTTTGAACGACTTGAATGCAGACCACATGCACACAGTATTGTCAGAAGGACTTTGAAACTAGACTGGTGATTGGAAAATTGCTCATCAAAAGTTTACAACATTATTCATAAGTATTTTTGACACGCAGGATCCACACACAAATATTTTACACGAAAGATTCATACACAAATCTTTTACACGCAGGATCCACACACAAATCTTTTACACGCAAGATTCACACACAAATCTTTTACACGCAGGATCCACACAAAAATCCCTAAATTCTTAATCGATATAAACATGGCTAAATCGTATCTTTGATAAAATATGAACCAATATCTGGAGCTTAGCAACCTTATCTCTTTTTTTAGGTTTTAGAACTTGGTATTAGGAGTTGTATAGTAAGACTACTATACAAATGCTTGGTTGATCATAATTATATGTATTTTGTCGTTTAGATTGTCGTGTTTCTTCGGTGTATACCGTAAATCTCCTTTTATTCATCTACATGTATATATGACAACTTGAAGAGGTCAACACTGAATACAAAAACGTACCGTATATCTCCGCGTGCAAGATCATTAGCCTAATATATATATACAAACTAATTGTAACTTGGATGGAGAGTTGTCTCATTGGCACTCATACCACATCTTCCTATATCTAAATTAATCTATTTGTCATGTTTATATATTAGGGAACGAGAATTGAATACAAATAAAGTAGGTAATTATGGACTATAAAATTCATGTTTAGTCAACTATTTAAAATACCCTAAACATACTTATTACTACGCGTTTGATATAAACCAAGGCTGGTAAGTATTTCCCGATTGTTTCCTTTTTTTTGTCTATGAACATCCTGTTATTTTATCAATTATACACATCCTGTAGTGTTACAATGTTTGTAACGCAGTTATTATAATCAGATTTACAAAAATTCCGTTTATATCTTCTAGGTATATACTTAGAAGCACTTTGATATAGTAATGTTTACTAAAGTCAAGTTTAAGTATATTTGCTTTACATTTTTCATTTTGGGATAAAATCATTGAAATTCTTGGCATTTTCTTGATATTGATTTGAGAAACCAAACCTGTTTTTTTCACAATTCTTTTTGTAAAAATTAATTTAAAACTAAAATCAAATTAAATGACCGTTACAAAGATTATAAAAGAGAGGCGAAAGATATCAAAGGGACATTCAAACTCATAAGACGAAACTAATCTGACAACGTCATGGCTAAAAAAGAAAATAACAAACAGACAAACAACAGTACACAAAACACAACATAGAAAACGAAAGACTGAGCAACACGAACCCCACCAAAAAACTAGAGGTGATCGCAGGTGCTCCGGAAGGGTAAGTTGTAAAATAACGCAAAGATAAACACAAGAAGAATGTTTATTACATGTATGCGTATCTGATGTTTCTATCATTTAATTAGGGCACACTGGTACCAAGTGTATATTGCATTTTATAAAAATTGACAAATTGTTTAAGGTAAAAGAAAAGGGTGATGGTTACTGACATTTCTTGCTTACACTACTAATCGAACTTATTCATTTTGTGTTGTAAGGAATTATATCTATCTGGTTCCAAATGATCCAGATCGTACATCAATGTGGGAGACCATGTTTACAGACGTTGCTACAACAATTGTAACCATACATAGTATACGTATACGTAATCTTCTACTGGTATCCATCCATGCAAATAGCCATTTCCATTATATGTTTTTTTCTTAGGTTACAATCATTCATGTGTCCTTTAATAGTTCAATTAGATGCAATATGATACTGTTTAGTTTATTTCTCAGTGGATGTGCTATTTTTGGGGTTATGTTAAATGACTGTCATAACATATTTTGCTGAATAATTAACATTTTATTCATTTTTTCTACTTGTATGAAGATCAGTTTTTGATCATTAAAGGAATTAGGTATTGATAAAAAAATTCGCATAGTCTGTTTTAAATGTGCAATGCTTTTTCAGATTGTGGGCAGTTTATAGAGATTGACATTGTTGAAACCGAATGTTGACCTCAAGATGTCGTTTCAGTTTGGTGTCGTTGGGTTGTTGTCTCATTGACAGATACCAATATTCCTTTTTATCAGGAAGATATTACAATAAAAAAAATTTAGCCTGTATATAGATTCATCCTTAGTAGTATTATTTTTGTTTTATTTCCATCTTTCTATCCTTTCTGTTGATATGTTTACTCTGCATTTAACAACAGGAACTGAAGAAAATGATTTACTTCAATTCCCCCTTTTTGTGTACTGTCCTCCAATTTGTTTCATGTGTATAGTTTAAGGAGCTATTTAAAGCCACTGAATTTAAGTTTAATATAAACGTTTACTGAAATATAGCAAATTTTATTACAAAAACAAAAACTTTAATTTGTAATTAATTACAAAATTAAAATCTATATAGTTAGAAATATAAAAATACTATAAATTTGAATGACGCATAGAGGAGTTCTTTATGGTGGTGTATAATCCATAAATGTCACTAAACAATCCCTTATAGAAAATGTAGTTGTTCTTCTAAAAGTAAAAATTAATTCCAAATTTAAATGAGTAAAAAGTCCAATAAAGTCCAATTCATAGAATACATAAAGAAATCGAGTAAAAATGTTTATATCACAGTTAAAGAATTCCTGATTCCATCCCGAAGTTCAATCAGTTCCACTTCTTCGTCTAAAGGATTGCAGTGCTGAAAAGAGAAAAATGAAACTGTTACTATCGAACGTTAGATAATGAACGCTTTTGTGTCCCTGCATTATCTATTCTGTATCATTGTAAACCATGGTCAACAATGTAAACTCTGTCATTACTGGTAAATCCTGCAAGAAAGAGAGAGAAAGAAGCATTTTAAGTATGCTTATTTGATCTTGTCGGAGAGGGAGAGAGATGATTCGACGACTGAGTCTTGTGTCTTGAGCAGCATTTATGTATGCTACGTACTGTGACCTATAATGGTTTACTTTTATAAATTTTGACTTGGATGGAGAGTTGTCTCATTGGCACTCAAACCACATCTTCTTATATCTATTATTTGATAGTGTAACTATCTAGTCTATTCGTTTTACTGGTGTTTGTATCAGTGAATTCGAATTTAAAAACGTCTTTTACAAGTGTACCTACATTTAAAATTACTATCATTCACAAAACCATCATACTGTAACAGATTTAACCAAGTAATTTTATCAGGTATTACAATGGTGTCTTGTGTACCATACATATCTCATGTACAAGTTTTTATGGATTCAATGAATCGAAAACCTTCACTTAGCCCAGCTTCATGCACAGATGAACAGTTACCAACTGTAACAAAATATTTATTGAATATGAGTCTTGTTGTCGTAGTCGTTCATGGCGACCCAGATGGGATGTTTATCAAGTTATTAAGAATAATATAAATGGATTTATTTTCATTTACGATCCTTTGATAAGAGTGTAGGGTGTTCTAAGAGTATATATATGTATTAAATTCTTCAACTTCTACATACAATATCTCAATACATTTTTTTACAAATTTTTCATTTTTTTTCCATTTTGAATCTTTCTTCCTCTAACATTTTAACACCCCCCCCCCCTTCCGTTTTTCCTCGAGTTTCCTCATGTCTCCATGAAAAGTTCACTCATCTAAAGGTCATTTAAAAGTCGAAGGTTAATGACCCGCCTTATACAATATCGTCTTTCATCTACTGTGTTTAAGTCCTAAACAATTTATACGTTCTCTATTCTGTAAATGTTGAATATTTGAATACTTTTTAAAAATCTATTTATCTATTTTACAGAAACCAATTTTTCGATTGAACGGATCAAATATACACTGAGTTTTTCATCCACATTGTTGTAAAATGATTGACTTAATGGTAAAAATGTTTAACTAGTTTATGACATGAAATAGTAATCGATTTCGAATAATAAAAATATTCTTTTGTTAAAAAATGCATCCTGTTAAATTGTAAATACATCAATGTTCAATGTAAAAACATAAACCAATTTGGGAAAACCTGCATACCAGAAAGGAAATTCACACCCTTACATCGGCATTTGGTACTGCATAGGCAACAGGTATCTCGGATCAAAAGCTGCTGTACATGGTGCAAATGCCATACACAACAGTAAATACAATTGTTTCCAGTGGTAATTGGTAAAAAAGGTCCAATCGTATCTGCCGTAATAATAGCCGCAGTAATAGGGTGTGATATTCCAAACTTTTGATATCGACCATATTAGATGGAGACTATCCCAGTTATAGGTCTTAAGCGAATACCAACCATATCTTACTTTTTAACACACTAATAAACATTCAGAGAATGCATTTTGTCGCCATTGGCAATAACATCACAAAACATGAAACCGAATGAGGATAACGGATTTTACAGAAAGTATGGTTAATTTGATGCAGATATCAAAACAAAAAACAAATTCAGATACAAAAATAAACCAATCATAATACTCTCTAATTGATATATTCATAGATTTTTCAAACAGTCAAACTACTATCTCTTTTTTTCTTAATTATTGTGGTCGCGCGTATTCAAGGCTAACATGTTTCAATAATTCCTCAATATTGTTTTGCTGTGCGTACCATCAACACGCGATTTAAAGTAACATTTAATCGAAAAATCAAGAAGCACATATTTAGATTATAATAACAATAGTCTAGATAGCCTAAAAGGCTGGGTTAAATCATGGAAAAAAATATGATTGATAACGCTAAAAGGTTTAAAAGCTAATTTTTTTCTAACCGTCACGTTTGCGCGGATTTGATGTATATTTGCAATGAAAAAACTTAATGTTTGCTCAGGAATTCACTTTTTGTATTTGCTATTTTTAAACAATTATAAATCAAAAACCTAGAGTAATGTTTGACATATACAGCTATAATTGAAAAATAATTTACAGGGCACCTGCAATGATCAAAGCATATCCTTCAAAATCAATAACGATCTGTCACTTGTTGACATTTGTTGTCCTTATTACTATTGGTAACTGTGTTATCTATTATTTGTTCAAATACCAGTAAACATCGCATCAAATGCTGCTTGCCTAACGTGTCTTGACACGAGGCTTAAAATCAAAATGCCGGGTTAATCACTTTATATGTAGAGGTTTGTTTGTATTATGTATAGGTTAGTATCTTATCAAGGAGATGTCAAGATATTAAAAGTATGATCATCCGTTATATGGGGTTTCAATTATTTATAACGTCCAAGGCTATGCAACCTAAGCAATCAAGAGCTACATATGTAGTTAATTGGTGTGCGTCATTATATTAATACTCTCAGCACATGTTATATAAAACTTCACATTTGCTAAATGCTATTTGTGCACACAAGTTATTGTTATTCAATATAGTGATGTATTTGGGTTGTTCATTCTTATTTATTGTGATACATTATTGTCAAGGGTATATCTTTCAAAATGTTAGTTTAATTGGCATTTGTTGTATTTATGATAAAGCGTTAACGTTGTTTCTGCTGTATGGAACATTATATTTTACACCAAGATGACGTTAAATGAAATTGGATACCCTGCATTTATCATGCTTTTCAAAAACATATGATAAATCGCTGCAAAACCCCCTCCTAAAATATTGAAAACATTAAAATCTTGGTGTAAATTAGATACACCCATTCGGGCTAACGCCCTCAAGGTGTGTCTAATACATATTACTGGTTTCTTATCGTTTGGTCATATAACTCCTTATGTATTCAAGAACTTGTACATCCTTGGCTTTCAAGTTTTTTTAGTAAGAACGTTCCTGATAACGGTATATCTGAAAAAGTGCTCCGGACGCACCATATTTATTTAGTACTATATTCATTTACAAATCTTGCCATGGTCAGTTTCACTGTCATGTGCATGTATATATATCATCTAAGAACTTGTGTAGATTTCAAGTAAAATTGAGAATGGAAATGGGGAATGTGTCAAAGAGACAACAACCCGACCATAGAACAGACAACAGCAGAAGGTCACCAACAGGTCTTCAATGCAGCGAGAAATTCCCGCACTCGGAGGCGTCCTTCAGCTGGCCCCTAAACAATTATATATACTAGTTCAGTGATAATGAACGCCATACTAAACTCCAAATTGTACACAAGAAACTAAAATTAAAAATAATACAAGACTAACAAAGGCTAGAGGCTCCTGACTTGGGACAGGCGCAAAAATGCGGCGGGGTTAAACATGTTTATGAGATCTCAACCCTCCCCCTATACCTCTAGCCAATGTAGAAAAGTAAACGCATAACAATACGCACATTAAAATTCAGTTCAAGAGAAGTCCGAGTCTGATGTCAGAAGATGTAACCAAAGAAAATAAACAAAATGACAATAATACATAAATAACAACAGACTACTAGCAGTTAACTGACATGCCAGCTCCAGACTTCAATTAAACTGATTGAAAGATTATGTCTTCATCATATGAATATCAGGCACAATCCTTCCCGTTAGGGGTTTAGTATCATACCATCATAACATATATGAGAAGAACATAACCCGTGTCATGCCAACAACTGGTTTTTAAATAAATGTGTTTAGTATCGATGCAAAGACCTTATAAGTGAATCAATATTAACGCCAAAATATGCAATCTTTAATGACCTGACAACAGTATCGTAACTATATCCCTTCTTAATAAGTCTATTTAAAGGTTTTGTTAGCTTCAGAGGTGAATACTGACATTTTTGTGCTTTATAAAGAATATTTCCATGAAAAATTGGATGTGAAATACCTGAACGTATAAGAAGTCTGCATGTTGAGCTATATTTACGAATGATGTCCTTATACCGATGATAAAATTTAGTAAATGTTTTGACTAGTTTGTGATATCGAAAACCCTGGTGTAATAATTTTTCAGTAATACATAAATTTCTCTCGTTAAAATCTAAAACATTGTTACATACACGAGCGAATCGTACAAGTTGAGATATATAAACACCGTAAGATGGTGACAAGGGAACGTCACCATCTAAAAATGGATAATTAACGATAGGAAATGAAAAATCATCTCTTTTATCATATATTTTAGTATTAAGCTTTCCATTAATGATATAGATATCAAGATCGAGGAAAGGGCAGTGGTCATTGTTAGTATTAGCTTTATTTAAAGTAAGTTCAACAGGATACATTTCTTTAGTATACATACTGAAGTCGTCATTATTGAGAGCCAAAATATCATCCAAATATCTAAAAGTATTATTAAATTTGTGTATCAGATGTTGTTTCGATGGGTCTTTGCTGATTTTTGTCATAAATTGTAACTCATAGCAATACAAAAAAAGGTCCGCAATAAGTGGTGCACAGTTAGTCCCCATTGGAATTCCGATAACCTGACGATATACGGAATCTCCAAAGCGAACAAAAATGTTATCTAGTAAAAATTAAAGGGCATATATAGTATCAAAGCATGTCCAATTGACATAGTTTTTTTGTTTATTGCTACTTAAAAATGACCTAAAAGAGTTTGAACATATATATTCACATTCTGACTTTTTAAATGCCCATTTAATTAGGTGTGTGAATTTTTTCTTAATGAGAATGTGAGGCAATGTGGTATATAGGGTAGAAAAATCAAAACTTTGAACAGATTCAAAATCACCAATATATGCATGTAATTTATCAAGTACTTCCAACGAGTTCTTGACACTCCAAAAGTAATTAATTCCACTATTTTCGAAGGCCTTATTTGAAC